TTTTTTTTTTTTTATGCTGTATCTTTCTCTTCTTTCTTCTTATTTATGCATAGTATTCTCCAACCCTGCTTCCTTAAATACATGAACATAGTGAAAGAAAACAAACTTTTGTTTCTCCATCTTCAAGTGGCTCTATATTCAGTTTCTTTCACATTGTAGATTTGCTCCCATCATCATGTAGATTGCTCCTAATCTGTTATTACTATGTTTCAGCTGTTAGAAATTTATGATTCTTCTTCTTTCTTGAAGCTTCATTTGTCCACTTGTCCATGCTACTATGCATTCTGTGGTGCAATTACAATTAAACTTCTTAAGAGTAACGATCACACAATCAGTTAATGGAGGTTCACTACAGTTCAATTACATCCTATGTATCAGCTTTTTTCATTCCGTTTTTAAGTGTGAAGTTTTTCAGTGGTTCATCAGATTTTGCTTTCCTCTCTCTCTGTCCTCTCTCTTCTGTCTCTGTGACGTAAATTTTCATCAGAATTAAAATCCAAGAGCATCTATTTGTGAAAAATGCCTGAGGTTATTTTCGTATTGGTTGCCTCAAGTTTTTTCTTTGCATTATTAGAGCAATCCAGCCACAGAAAAGCTCATCAAGATCCAAATTCCGCCAACTTTGAAGAAACAATTAGTTAGTGACTGGGAGCTGGTCACTCAGCAGAACAAGGTACTTGTTTTTATTAGCTATAGGCACCCTCTTCCCGAAAGGATAAAAATGAAAAAATAAAAAATAATAAAAATTAGTTGCTTCAATGATGCCAATATCTTTCCATTGAGTTTAATGTTCATAATTGCAGATCTAGAAATAACAGCACATCATTCGTTAAGATTTGCTGAATTTCTCATATCAAACATTTGTCATCTATTGTAACCAGCAATGATTGAATCTGGACTTTAACCACATGATCTATCTTTCCAGATTAGCTAATTGTTGTTGCTGTTGTTTCTATTTATTTATTTATCGTGTGAGAACATATAAGGATGTTACCGAGTTTCCCGGAACTGGTTTTATTCAATTTAATCTCAGTGGAAAAAGCATGCTGGACTATTTCACATTCTTTTTTTCTGGTGAAATTCATCATGCTACCTCAAATTTTTTCACCGGATGATGCTCCATTATTCATCATTATTATCCCTTTCTTTGGGCTTTCAGATAAGAGTGTCGATTCTGCACCACGAGCTTGACACTTTATTGAGGATGACTTTTGCATCTCAGCTTCTGTTATCTAACTTACATCAAGCTTTTATGTATTAAGAGCAGTTCAGAGATTGTTTTCGGGTCCTTTTAGAGGGATTGTGATGGGGTTTTTTTGTTTGTTTGTTTCCTGGTGTTTGATTTAGTATTTGTCTTTGTTGAATTAAAAGTTAATTGTCATATTTAAGCACCTATTTTGCAGCTTGTGAAACTCCCCAGATCTCCAAATGTTGATGATATATTAACAAAATATCTTGAATACAGGTCCAAGAAGGATGGAATGTGAGTTTCTCATATGCTGCTTTTTCTTTGATTTAAACATCCTTTTGGTGTATTATACTTTCATTTATTTACTCTTCAAGCTTTACATATAAATTATTGGGGTGATGTTGGCCAATTTTGTGGCCATTTGTTGGCCTTAAAAATGAAGACATATTCAGTGCCCACTTCTTAAAGATGTTTTTCCTTGCTCTTTTACTAGTCAAAATTTACCTTGGGGCTATTCGGTAATACTAAAATCTGGATCCTGAGAATGATTATAAGTTCCCCTTGGAATTTGAACTTTTGGACATTTGATTGGCTCTCGTTTGACATATTGTAAATAATGGGGGTTGGGTTTTTGACGAATATTGGAACACCAACCGAACCAAATTGATGTAAAAAAAAAACGAACCAAATAAATTTTGCTGTCCTGTTTTATGCGCAGATTGATATTCTTTGTTGACGGCGTTGTTTTAGGACAAGGTGTCACATGATAACTGATCCTTGACTTTTTCCATTTATGTAAGGATGACAGATGCTGTCGGTGAAATTTTGAATGGGATCCGCTCTTATTTTGATAAAGCATTGCCGTCTATTCTTTTGTACAAGAAAGAGAGGCAACAATATCAAGATGCAATTCAAGAAAATATTTCTCCATCAACTGTATATGGAGCTGAGCATTTGTTGCGCTTATTTGGTATGTTTTTTTTTTTTTTTTTAAGAAATTATGTTATGTGTTCTGTAGAATTTTCTTACTTCTGAAAATTGCCTTTCTGGATTACTCTATCATTTCAGTGAAACTTCCGGAATTGTTGACATATGTGAAAATCGAAGAGGAGACTTTGCTTCGGTTGCAGCAGAAATTGCTCGACTTTCTCAAGTATATGGACACTTTCAACCTTCTGAGAATTATTCTAATCTTGCTTTGCTTTTGATAATGTCCCTTAAGAGATCATGATGATATAGTCAACTTGTGGTGAACTCCTACGTGTTTGGGTCTAGTGACGAGACATTTTAGAATTATGATGAAGTTTTTTAGCAATGGTGCTGCCAAATCTGACTAATATTTTTTTTTGTCTCTACTTGTCTGGGTTTGTTTCCATTCTATAGGTTCTTGCAGACCAACGAGAACATTTTCAGTCTCTCTTCATACGATGTACTCAAAGCTACAGAAGGAGTTAGCAAGGGTAAAGGATGATAATCAACTATAACATCTGACTCACATGCCTCCTGTAATCCTATAGCTCTCATATCCAACCAAGCAGCATGTTGAGTCATAGACTCCTAAGACCTATTAGCATCGTTTGAACTGATTTCTGTTTTGAATGAAAGAATCATGTTTAGTCAATTGTTGTGCAATTCACTTTATGTATGAAAATTGTATTTTGCCCTGTTGTTGCTCACATTAAAGATAATATAGAGTGATGTTTTTGGACACAATAGATTATGTTATGAGTTTCTTATGCAATATAATACAAATAAGGTTCATAATCGAGATAACAATGGACAAGCCTATCAGTACGGTTATATACATAGTATAATTTGAATTTGTTTACCTCAACTAATGAATTATACTAGTAAACTTTGTGCGTATTGAATAAGAACCCGAAGGAGAAGTTTATTTTATGTTGATCCAGTAGATAAACTTGAACTCATTATATTGCCTGTACTCTTAAGCTGTTTGATAATGATCGACACGTGCGATTAATAATGTTCTTTGATTCATGAAAGGATGAGATTTATTCTATTAGGTCAATAACTCGGTGTGCTGAGAATTATTCTTAGTCACATAATGTGGTGTCGATTATACTATGTCACCGTACTAGTACGTTAGGTTGATGACATTCCCAATATGAGCTCGAAAGATATATCATGTCAAGCCATGCGACGAATTTCAGACATAATAGTAAAGATTGAGCAGTACTAGTCTAAGAATATCAAAAAGTTAATTATCAAATTTTCAGTAATTAATTAATTAATGGTCGTTATATATTTGACACATGAAGATAAATCGAGGATAGTGGAGTCCATGTAATTTAGTTGAGAAAAAACTAGTGCAATAATAAATATTTAGTGGAGTTATTTATTATTAATGAGCCTAGAAATAGGGTGGACCACAACCCAAGTCCCTCTTGGCTCATTTAAAGACTTATTCTTAACCTCCATAAGGTATTAAGGTGTATGTTGTAGCCTACAAATAAAACATGCAGAGAACATTCCCTTGCTAGAGATCATTAAGCAACAAGCCAACCCCATAAAAATGGGGCTAGTTGTGCACGAGTTTGAGAGCAAGATAGGAAGAGTCTCGGCCACACGTGTTCGGGAGATCGTGACACCTAACCGAGATGAATGAATACAACAAAATACTTGAGGTCGAGGACTAATCGGACGCACGACACACGCAGACGGTCACCGGGAGACGCGCGAGTTCAAGAGGTGAGAGCCAGAATCGCTAATCTTGTCCCATAGACCGTGTAAGTCGTTTTAGAGTTGACTTAATCAAAACTTTAAGATCATGACCCTAAACTTAAGATCCACTGCAGTTATGATTAATTTCTCAGGATTCAATTAGAGAAAATAACCAATGTTCTTCCTGTCGAACCCAACTCCCCACCTCACTAATTCGTAGAACTCTCTGATTAGGGATTTTACACCTTCTTTCTCTTTTAAATAAATTGTGGTCTTCTACTCTCTCTATACAACCACACTATGTCGGATATATGTATGCCCTTTCCATAAACAAGTTTTCACTTAACTCTGTATGAATAAAATAGCTTCTCCATCCTAAGTTGATGTAGGCTAGGGATTTCGAACCTATTCTTTTATTCGATATTTTTATGATGTTCAAATTTCAAAAGGTATCCCCGACCTCACGCCTCATAATAACTCTAATGTCATGAAGGACCTTCCTTCCAGCGTGTCCTCTTAGAAAACCCAAATTTTCTACATTCGCACTAACACGTGTGAAACGACAAAGGTCCAAGTGTCTTTGTGAGTACATCAACTATTTTGTCTTCAGAACGAACAAACTGTAGACTATGATGCCCTTTGACAACTTTTCTCTAATCAAATGACAATCTATTTCTATATGCTTGCTCCTTTCACGATGAACTGGATTTTTGGCTAAAGATATGGCAGGTTTACTATCAGAAAATAATAACACATGAGATAAATGAGCAAGATGTAAATCAACAAGTACATATAGTAGCCATTGAGCTTCACATGTAGTGAGAGCTAATGCTCAATATTATGTTTCATCAGATGACCTACTGATAGTGGGCTGCTTTTTAGTTTTCAAGAAACAAGTGAATTTCTTAGAATAAAAATC